TACTACTTGAAATATTAGAAAATATACTTTTCTAATGAAGTTGTATTCGTTTGCCTACACCTGAATGCATTTCTTCAAGGTAGAACCAGAAGACGACGAGGAGTTACGAAAGCACCGAGAATGGCATCAGGTAAAGGGGTTTGTGAACGCAAGTTTTTTGTTTATTTCAGTAGGCTCGCAAAATATTTTGCCGATCAAAGTCTGCCTAGGATATTTACTCATGTTTCAACAGAGAAAGCATGCATATCTGAAAACACTTTTTATTAAATCCCTTTTCACTTCCATCATTGCGTAGAGTGCGTTGCTCAGGTTGAGTTAGATGTGCAACGAACGTTAGCTCGTTTCCCCCCAAACATATCGGACGAACGCAGATCAACGTTACAAGATCAGCTGACGCCTCTGATAATTCGTGTTCTGAAAAGCAACGAACGATTCCATTATTATCAAGGTGATCACTGTTTTCCTTTTCAACTATATTCTGTATAGCCAGCAATATTAAGGATTCCACGATGTGTGTCTTACGATTCTTCTTGTGTGCGGATACGAAAGCGCCCTCGAAGTGTGCAAAAATCTAGCTCGTCATGGTCCGTTCCGCTCATATCTGCTGAAGTCATTGGAACAAAGTGTGCTTAGAGAGCTTGATCTTTTGTAAGGGATAGAACTGTTGCTTTTTGCATTTTTTTTTCAATCCCTCTTTTTGTAGATACGTGATTCTGTCTCGGGTTGATCCGCAGCTCGAAACCATCATGCGTGACGTACATCTCGGCACAATGTTCGCTCTCAGTTGGCCTCTGACTTGGTTCAGTCATGCGCTTGAGCAATATCAACAAGTGGGTTAAGTTCATTGTTCGAGTGTTAATCTTTTCACAGTTCCCTAGGTTTGCATCGTCCATTGTTCAATCAGTTTTATCATTGCTCGTCTCTAAATCTTCAACTTCAGATTGTACGGTTTTTCGACGTATTCTTAGCTTCACCGCCATTGACCCCAATCTATGTATGTGCAGCTGTAGTTTTGAAGAGAAAATCTGCCATAATCACCAGCGAACGGTAATCTTCACAATCATGTCTTCGTTAAGCATAATACGACCTTATAGGGAAATGCCAATCATACATCAGCTATTATCAACAATGCCTTACGAACTTCACTCAGATGCTATATTATCAGATTCCCTGTATCTTGCGTCGCTGATGCCACCATTTGCACTGAAGACTGAGTTTACACGAATCTACAAGGAACAAGTCAGTTATTTCGTTATTATAATTTACTCTTTGTATGGCTGTACGTTCAGGTTAAAAACCGCAATCCTGTCCATAGATGGGGTCCGGTTTCGAGATATGCAATAACAATGGTAGCAGCAGCTGGGGTTGCAGGTGCCGCATACTACTTTAACCTGGGAGAAAAATTTGCTTTGTAATTTTGCAATCATGCTTTGTCTGTGATTATGCATGTATATATAACTTTATATGGGTATTTTCACTTCAGTGCTGGGAATATACCGTCTTACAATTCATCGCTGATATATATCTTGCACATCTGTGGAAATCTTTCTCGAAATGCAAAGCTTTTTTTCGCCCTTTCTTGCCATAGTTAACCTATATCAGATTGTATTACTTCAAGACTGCGACAGGTCAAGTCTTCTGCTGTTATAACTGCGATATATGTCAAATCTTTATGTATTAACAGTAATCTTCAAATGTCAACAATAACAAGAACAACAAGAAGTAACACAAAACCATTCGCACTGCGAGGAGAAGTCTAGGTCCCGTAAAAGCGTGAGATTGGCGGCGTTGCGTTCTTGCGACAGTCTCATTTTCTTTTTCTTTTTCTTTTTTGAGCATTTTTCGCATATATGTTAGCAGCTACACACTTGGAAGTAATTCTGTTGAGCGAGAGAGCGAGACTGTCTGAATTTTATATGATCGTTTAAATTTTGGGGTGAGTGCAAAGACCACCGTCAATGTCGTCACGGTTTCAGGAATGCCCGACATCATTAAGATAGCAGTTTGAGCAACTGAACGCTGCCCAGTATATACTTTAAGATCGGCCTATGAATAACGCGAACTGCCGCAAACTGAGGTTGATGCACGATTTTTGTACCAAAAATAGAGGGAGAAACATTTGTTTTGATAATGCTAAAACAAACTACAGTTTGCAGAATATGCTCTTTGTTAGTTTATCAAAAGCATATTTTATAGTAGTTAGACAATCAATAAAAACAAAATTAGTAAGTCAATTAGAAAAAACAAGAT